ATATTTAGATTGTTCAACCCAAGAATTGTTTCAAAATAAATTTTCAAATTAAATAAAACCCAATTAATATTATCCAAGTGAGAGAATGTTAGAATTTTTGTTTATTTGGGCTATTATTAATTAATGTAATTTTATTTTATGAAAATGGGTTGAATGTTACCTAACACATATATTTTACTATAAATGCATTTTATTATGTGATTTATTTTTGGTTTGGAAATCACCATGTAAATATATCTAATTATTTAGTTAAGCCTAATAGGCATGTATGTTAAGTTTTTTTATACAGAGTCTAATTGATTTAATATCTGTGATGGAAAAATATTAAGTTAGAGTTTCAAAAATTGAAATGACAAGATCCTACTAGACTTCTATAAATTCTGTGATTGTCATTTTTGTTCCATTCATGAGACAGTGGTTATAGAAAGAGGTTCTAGTAGAAGACTATTCTTGACATTCATATGTAACTAACGTTGTGATAATAGATTCATTATATCTATAGGAAGTAAGTGATTTATAAACATTAATTTGATGTTCTAAATTATATATAGTATTGATTGGATATATAATGTTATCATTTAAAACATAACAGATACAAATAAAATTATATTTACCCCTTATTTACTTAATTATAATTGATGATGTGATGGTAAACATTAAGTGAAGTAATTAAGGTGTAATGACATTGATTTTCAATGTTTACTTATAATGTGTTTTATAAGAGATATACATGCTGTAAAATAATAGAGTAAAGCATTGAGACAGTTTGACATATATAATTGAGAAATAACTTGTCGCTTGTAATTCCTAGTTGTATATTTATTACTACTTAAATTGTGGTTGGTAAAATATCTTTGCTGTAAAAAGAAATAAAAATGGTGATAGATTTATCCAATGTTGGCATGCACGCAAGGGAGCTAGAAAAATGATGCGAGAATCTAGAAATATATGAACCCGTGAATAATGTATGGCCCGCATGGAGATGAACCTTTCTTTTCCACTCATCTATATGCCTCATCACGGCCCTCACCTTCTCTCTCTTTCGATTCTCTGCACAATATTGCATGCAGACAATTACACAGCACTGCATCGAATATGTTGTAGCAAATTACATAAAAATGTATCACCCTTAGCATCACCTCTTGTACAACACAATATATATAGATGTCCAAATTAATTTTAATAACAAATTTTATGTTAACACATATATACTTATGACAATTTGTCTTTAGAAAAGAAACCAAATATATATGTTATCTTGTTAGACCATTAATGTTTTACATTTGAAAATGTGTTTGGATAGATTAAAAAAAAAGTGTTTATAAACGATTCTTGATTTTGACTCTCTGATATAAACTTTTTGAACGTACAGAAAAAAAAAATATTAATTAAAAAGTCTTATATCACTATTAATTATATATACGTTTATGTGCTTAATTAGTATAAATTCATTTAGTACTGATTAATTTTAAAATGAAATCTTAATATTATAACTTATAACCTATCAATTAATTAATCTTTATTGTTTCTATGCTTTTTGGACGAAATCGATCTTCACTGTTTCAATAGTTTGGAAGGCATATGTGGAAGACATGAGTGCTAATTAGTGTTTCCAATTAACTATCTCAATTATTAAGATGCGGTATATATATATATATATATATATATATGTTGGGATA